CCCGGGGGCCATCGGAACCCCGGCTGTGGGAGGGGGAAGCCCATGGGCAAGCCGGGTCCGAAGCTGGACAGCCGGGCCGAGACGTGCTTCGTGAACTGTGTGGAGCGCTTCATCGATACCCAGCCAGTTCATCCTGAACCGGCTGGAGCAGACGCAGAAGTCCAAGTCGGCCTTCTCGGAGAGCCTGTCCGACTGAGCGGGACCCGCGCCCCCGGGGGACACTGGCCAGCCCCCCACGAGGCCAGGCCCTCTGCCATGCCAGTTCCTGGTCACTCGTGAGCCAGGATGAGCTCTGGGGTTTAGGATTTAATTAAATGCCAGTCTCGGGGAAGTTGCAGCCAGATGAGAGCCCACGACAGAGGCACAGTCGCTCCTCCTGGGGGTGATGTGCTGCCCCTGGCCCCGTAGGCCAGCAGCCGTCTTTGTGCTGGGACTGGGACTTCGGGGCTGCCAATGCTATGTGAGTGTTTGGAATGCACACGCTCAGCTGAATGGAGGGGTGTTGATGCTCGCGTCGGGGTGCTCCCAGCGCTGATGCAAATCTCACTCAGCTCTAGGCGAGGTCAGCCTGCAACCGCCGCCTTAAACGGTGCTGCACAAAATGAACCCTCCTGAGTGGATGCGAACAAGCCCTGCAGGTGCCACCGCTGTGCAGTCTGGTACAGGTACCCTTAGCAAGAAGAGCTTGTTGGGCACGCTGTTCATTCCAGGCAGCCTCACTACTGGAAAATACTTTCAGGCTTCCACAGGTAAATCATTCACGTGGCCAAGTGACAAATTTTCAGATTGCAGCACAACTCTGTCAATACTGACTTGCTCCATTAACTGCTTTCCCCTGGTCAATGTAATAAATATTAACTGGGTCAATTTTTAACATGAGATTCTCCTTTGTTCAGGCGGATGACCACTGAGAATTGAAAATATGGCCTTCTCATCACTCCCCCTCCTTCCCAGTGATCCTGTTTATTGCAAAATTAGTAGGGAGGGGGCATAATTATCTTCTGGCTAGAAGGTCTGCTCTGAAGTCTGATTTGTTGCTCAATTTGGTCCCATAAATCAAACTTGTCTCTGGGAGAGGCTGTGGCTTTTCCTCCTCTTCCCCAAAGGGTTAACAGCTCCTGCTGCCCTGTCAAGGCGTAGTTTCTTTAGAGACACTAAATGCAGGAGATAAGTAACCAGCTACTTTATAACCTCATGCACCTTTACCTGTGGAGATCACTGGAGGGAGGCCTGTGGCTGTGTATTCTGGACCTCTGCTCCCAGGACACAGGAGCTTCTAACTGGAAAAACAACAAACTACTGATCCGCCCTCTGGAAAGGCAGCATAGCATTTCAGCAGTGTTTATGTACAGCGTGGCTCTGGGAAGCCTGGAGTGACCCACTGACAGTGGCTTGGAGCTTTACACAGGAACCTGGTAAAGCAGTTCTGCACATGTCCATTTGCTGTGGGTGGCTGGACAGGGCCTGTGAGTTCCTAACATGGGTGGCTTGTAGCCAGCAGCCTTCCTGGGAACAAATTCAGGATGTATTAAACAGAGCTGTGCAGATGAGTGAGGACATAAGTGAGGACACAGCTGTTACCTTTCAGAAACTTACCTCAATAGCTAAGGACTCTTAGGTCACTCCTGTTCCCAGTGTAAGCGATTCCCTCTCCTGTCCCTATCTTGAGTTTCTCTCAAGCATCTGCACGGTTCTTTCTACCCCTGTAATCCTTCACGCCTTTCAGCACTGGCCCAGCTCTCGGTACAAATGTATCACTGGCTACTCAGTAACTGAACAAATCGATTTTTAATAGAATACAGTAAGCAGGTCGTTCATCAACCTGCACTGCACATGTGTGAAGAGGCTGGTCCCTCTGTAAGAGCCACAGCAGCATGTGGCAGCACCACTGAAGTTTTCCAGTTTTGGCTGTAGTCTGTTCTTGGATGTGAATCTGTAAATAAATTCTAGCAGAGTGAGCAAAACAAGTTCTTGACAGAGGAATTTTTGAATTAATATTCTGGGTATGTCATCTTTAAAGCCAGACATCCATCTTCTCTCTGTGTAATCTTAGCACCATGTTAGATTATTTTGTGACTGTTAATCTTCTAAGTATATTTTCTTAAAATGCTGCGAGGCCTCCCCAAACGCGTGGTCTTCGCATTCAGTAAGGGTTAGCACTGTGTTAGTGCTCCGGGCCTCTGCGCAGCTGAAGCCTGTGTCCTAACGAGGGCGGATCAATTCTTCAAGTAAAAGAACAGTGAAGAGGCACCGGATCCCAGGAACTGGGCAGTTCCCAGGGCTCCTGTCTGTAACCATAGGAGGCTGCTGTCCCTGTTGGCCTCCTGGCAGTTGCAGGTCACCCATCTCATGCAGGTAGATGGTAACTGCCAACTCCTGCTAGTGCAGCAGTAGCTAGCAGCGGCTGAGGCAGCATGTTCAACCTTGCAGTGGAGCTGCTCAGCAGTGGGAGCAGAAAGCTAGCAGTTCAGAGGCTTCCTCACACACTTTCACCTTCCTCCTCCTCTTCCTCCTCTGGACTCTCAGAGCCCTTGTCCTCTGAGGGCAGAAGACGCTGGTGCTGACATGACTGATGTCTGTCTGCACTCCTCCATGAGGTGTGCAGGTCTGCCCTGGCTTGCTGCAGGAAGAGGGGCAGGAGGTCGGGGGTGAAGGGCATGTCCCTGAAGGCGTGCAGGAGGAAGATGCCGGACACAATGGTGAGGAAGCCGCTGATGGTGCCAATGATGTTGTCTAGCACCATGTGTTGCCACTCCTTGAAGAGGATGGCAGAGCACATCATGACTGCTGTGGTGAACAGCACGTAGTAAACAGGTGTGACCACAGATGTGTTGAAGATGTCCAAGGCTTTGTTCAGATAGTTGATCTGGACGCTGATGCAAATCACCAGGCACACCAGGAGCACCCAGCCCAGTGGTTCTTTCAGGACTGGCTTCCCAGAAAACAGTTCTTTCAGGGCAATCCCCAAGCCTTTGACGCAGGACACGGAAAGCGAGCCAATGGCAGAGCAGACCAAAACATAAACCAGGATGTTGCTCTGTCCATAACGGGGTCCAGCCACAAAGATAAGCAGAAGGGAACTCACCAGGACACACACAGCAAATACAATGAATCCTTGGGGAAAGAATTAAAGAGCTCTATCAGAGAACAGTAGCACCAGTGACAGATGTAACTGAACAGCAAGTAGTGATGGAAGACAGGCGGGTAACTGCCCCATCAGTCTGTCTTTTTAGCCTCCACCTGTAGGGACCAGGGTTGGGAAGCAGAGTTGGTCTCCAGCCTGAGCAAAGCTGCAGAGACAACAGCAGCTCTTTATGGTGCTGATCACAGCACCGCCCCACAATTCAGCCTGTCAGGGGATACAGCACCCGTGGTGGAAGGGATAGGGGCACAGCCAGGCTCTACGGCACTAGTGGAGGTGGGGGGCTTGTTGACCAGGAAGATGGGGGGCACAGCTCTGCAGGAGGCCCAGGAGGGAGGCAGGTGTCTCAGGAAGCCCTAGCTGAACCCTGCAGGCTGTGGTGGGATAAAGAGGAAAGCACCACATCACAGGAATGCGAGGCCCTACCAGAGCGCTCCCTCTAATGAGCAGCAGCATCTACGTGTTACTTTGCTTTGCTCTTCTCCCTGCACTTCCTTCCTCCATCTCCTGTGGCTTATTTTGCCACTCATGCTATTGCCTAAATCATATCCTTGCAACCTGATTCATCCTCTAAATATCAGGACTACTTGATCTTGGCTGTAACTTGAATTGCTTGTTCATCTTTGCCTGAAGTTCCTCCTCTGTCTTCCCTCAGCCGTATCACTGCCACCCTCATATACAGGAATTCCCCCTCCTATCCCGGCACTGCTACAGGCCAAGCCCTTCTGCTGCCAGCTGCAGCTAATTCCCATGCTCTTCACTTTTTGCATCTATACCTCATAGACAGTACAAAAAAAGCACACTTGGTAACTGTTAATGACCCAAGTTCTCATCCTTGCTTCAGCACAGACCCAGTGACTTAAGAGCATCGCCCAGACTCCCTCTCTGCAAAGAGGGTTTCCTGTCTGCCTCTTTCATCTGGGTCAAGAGAACCTGACAGTCCTAAAAAGCTATTCTGAAGCTGACTTGTCCC